GCGTGCGTTTGTCTCGTAGGTAAGCGCATCACGGACTCCTCCACTGCAGAAGAGGCCGTTGCCCTAGCGGTAGAACTCCTTAGAAAGGAAAGTGCAGAAGGCGATGCTGTTGAGCTTAAAAGCCTCAGGAGAAGCATGGCGCTGTTTAGCAAAGCAGCAAAAGACTCGACTATCATCGTTCTGGGGCTAGGGCTTCCCTTGCACTCTTTTGCGAAGGTCAGAGTGTAGACCAAAGAATGCTACGGAAGAATTGGCAACTAGTCTTTGTTCCCTTCTCGCTTTATCCCTGCGATTCCACTTGATGATGTTGTAGTTTGCTCCCATTCATTGGAGGCACGGATGGAAGTGCTGACTCTGCTGCGTGTCGTTTTGCTCCGCAGATGGCTAAGAATGTTATTGCAGTGGAAACCGACTACACCTTTTGCAGGGAGTTTCTCAGTTCGAAAGTGGGAGGATGCACCATGCAGCCGAATGTGCACATTTACTGCGTGCAACCCGCCTCCTCCGACTCGAAGGATGACGCCGAGACAAGCCAAATGTACAAATACTTCGGAGCAGCTCAAGATCTTATAGACGATGTGAGGAAGGCAGGAAGCCATGTGCTCCAGTGTCACTGAGTAGANGAGCAGCTCAAGATCTTATAGACGATGTGAGGAAGGCAGGAAGCCATGTGCTCCAGTGTCACTGAGTAGAGTGTACCTGTCGGTCTGATGCTTTCATAGTTTGCCTCCTCCTCAGTACTGCAGTAGTGCATACTGCGACGAAGGGTGCCGGTTTTATTGTGTTGCTGCACGTTCCCAAGGAATAGTGGGATTTTTAATACAATCAGGCGCAGAGTATACTACAGCTTAACTGGTTCAAAACCAAACACTATTACGACAGATTTATTCTGAGCTCATGTTGCTTGCAGCTCATGAAGCAACAGTTTGGGGATGTTCCTGCCAGCGCAGTGGCCGTCCTCGGGAGTTTCGCTGTGACAAAGTTGATGCTGATGGGAAGGTTCCTGGATCAGTCTAGTGCCATCTTGACACGCAGCCGAATGTCGTCTGAAGGTCTAAGTGCAGTTTCCGAATCATTCAGAGTCATCTCATCCTTTGGACCAAATCATCGCTCTCCTTCACATTCTGTAA